ATCTTGCTGTGATTTTGAACAGAAATTGTGTTAAACTTGCATATCAGTTTGGAGAGAATTGATATTTTTACCATGTCTATGAACACAGCATGTTTCTCCATTTATTTTGATCTTTGTTTCTTTCATCAGCAGTTTGTAGTTTTCAGTGTAAGTCCTGTGCATGTTTTGGTAGATTTATACCTGAACATTTAATTGTTTTTGAGTGATTGCAAATGGTATTATGCTTTTAATTGTGTCCATGTGTTCATTACTAGTATATAGAAATACGATTTTTTTTTGTATTTGTACAATTGTTTATCTTGTATCCTGTGACTTTGCTGAATTCACTTATTCTAGAAGTGGTTTTTTTTTGTGTGTGTGTGTTTGTTAGATTCCTGTTCCTTGGCATTTTCTATGTAGTTTCATTTGCATATAGGGACAGTTTAATTTCTGACATATGTGCCTTTTATTTCCTTTTCTTGCCTTATTGCACTGACTAGAACGTCCAGCCCTATGTTGAATAAGAGTGATGAGAGTGGATATCCTTGCCTTGTTCCTGATCTTCGGGGGAGGGCATTCAGTCTTTTACCATTAAGTGTAATGTTAGCTGTAGGTTATTTTGTAGGTGCCCTTTATCAAGTTGAGGAAGTTCCTCTCTCTTTCTGAGAATTCTCATTATGAATGAATGTTGAAATTTGTCAGATACTTTTTCTTCATCAATTGATATGATTTTGTGATTTTTTTTTTCTTTAGTTTGTTAATGTGGTAGATTACATTGCTTGCTTTTTGAATATTGAACTAGACTTGCTTCCCTGGAAGAAACCCCACTTGGTCGTGGTGTATAATTCTTTGTGTATATTGTTGAATTCTATTTGCTAATATTTTAGGGATGTTTATGTCTGTATTCATAAGGGATATTGGTCTGTGGTTTTCTTTTTTATAATGTCTTTTTCTGGTGTGTTATCCTGTAACTATTAGCTTCATAAAATGAATTAGGAAATGTTCCCTCCTCTTCTGTTTTCTAGAAGTGATTGTGTAGAATTGATGTTAATTCTTTAAGTGTTTTGTAGAATTCTCCAGTGAAACCTTCTGGGCCTGGTGATTTTTCTTGTGGGAGTTTCAAAATTATGAATTCAGTTTCCTTAATAGTTCCCATTCAGATTATCTATTTCATATTGGATTAGCAGTAGTAGTTTGTGTTTTTCAAGAAATTGACCCATTTTAGTTGTGAAATGCGCATATGTAGATTTGTTCATAGTATTCCCTTATTACCCTCATGGTGTATGCAGACTCTTTGATGATATTCTCTGTTTTGTTTCTGATATTGGTCATTTACATCTTCTCTCTTTTTTTGCCAGTCTTGCACAGGATTTGTCAATTTTTTTGATCTTTCTAAAGAACTAGCTCTTTTTTCATTGACTTTCTTTTTACCATTTTTCTATTTTCAACTTTATTGATTTCTGTTCTTTATTTTTTCTTTCCTTCTGCCTACTTTGGGTTGTTTTGCTTTTCTTTTTCTAGGTTCTTGAGGTGAGAGCTTCCTGACTCTCCACCGGGCCCCCTCTGACACTACCTGCTTTGTTAAATTAACATTTGTTAAGTGGAGCACAGATTGCTGGATGGTGAGCTGTGGCCAGCAGAGGACCATAGAGAAATTGAAATAAAGAATTTTATTACTCACAGGTCCTGGAGGGAGTACATGGCACTCCTCGAGGGGCCAGATGGCGAGGTCAAGACTGGGTGCAGAGAGAGAGAGAGAGAGCAACAGGGCCTGGAGCACATGGCTTTATTAGGGTCTATGGGTGGAATGCTTTGGGGTTCCCAGGCTAAGGCCAGATTGGTCAATTCAGATGGGAAGTACAGGGTTCTAGTAAGCTCCATGGGGGTTTTATCTAAGGGATGTGTAAGGGGCAGGCCCTGGGAGGCAGGGGAAACTGGTGATCACAGGGGCTGTTGGAGAAGTCATATCAGGAGCTTGTATTTGCTTGTGACTCTGAGGGCTGCTATCTAGGGCACATGCTTGCATGAGGGGGCAAGTTTCAGTTTAAGGTCCCTATGGGCCACACAGCCAGCAAAATGGATGCCGAGGCAGCAATACTGTGGAGTAGCTTAGCTAAACTCTCCACAGCGCCCCAGTGTGGAAGGGGAAGGCCTTTTATTACTGTGGAGGTGGAAGTCTGAGCTCTGCAGGTGGTCTCCACTGACTGAGATGCAGGGAGTCAAGCTCATTATTGTCCAGCTCCCTACTCAGCCTTCTCTGATGTGACCCTGGCAGGGGCTGGGGCTCCTCATTAAAGCCTGGGAAGGGTAGACATCTAGGCTCTAGCTCTGCCTTTGCTCGTGGCGGTGGGGCTGCAGATTTTTATGTGATTTCTGGCTGGATTCGAGGGCTCATTTGTCTAAAAGTTTTCTGTCTTGGCTAGGCTGTCCCTTTCCTGGTCCTTTGGCTAGAGAGAGCAGGCTTTGTTCAAGCTTTTTTTTTTTTTCCCTGCACCTGTTCGTGTTTCTGGGTTGCTGACTTCTTCAGCTCTGTGTCTGAGACATATGAAAACCCAGGGACCACTCCACCATGTTGTTCCTCAGGTCTACAGGTCCCTGGCCAGTCTGCCACCCTCCCTCCACTTTTTTGATCCTCTTATGTTTGTTTTATAGATAATGTCCAGGATTTTTAGTTGTACTTTAGCAGGAAGCATAGGGAAAAGTACATCTACTCCATCTTCCCAGAAGCAGAAGTATAGAACAGTACCACTTAAAATTCATTAGTATTATTTTCTCTGTGAATTACACTAGGTTCTGAATTTGTAACTTAAGTTCTGGCTATTAAAGTTGAATACAGACTCATTGTTCTCCATTCTTTTCAGGAGAGCATTAGTTCTGTTTTGGCTATGTGAAAGCTGTTACATGTGGTTAAGCTTAAAACTTACCAAATTCAATAGCAGGGTATTTTTCTTCTGAAAAAGCCAAGTGGTAGGGGAATATAGCCAATATTTTATAATAACTATAAATGGAGTAGAACCTTTAAAAAATGTACAGCGGTAACTTATATAATATTGTATAGCAACTATACTTAAATGAAACAAAAAAAAAAAACAAAGCCAACTGGTCAGATACTTATTGGTTTGCCATTAAAAGTGAGTTTCAGTAAGGCCAAATTCAACTTTAGCTAGTGCTTGTATAATGTACATTTTAAAATATTACCTTAGAAACAGTTTATTTTAAAAAGCATCCTTCCTGGGATGAGTGATACAAAAAGTAAGTTTTGAATTTATCTTAACAGTACTTTCTGATTAAGTGTGAAAGTAATGGGAACGTTGCTCCAGTGAAACTGGTTGTTCTGTATTAGAGTCTGCCAAATACATTATTTGTGTGATATAATAGGTAGCTCTTGATGGAAGTCACAAGACGTTATGTTCTGGTCTTGGCTCTGCTACTGAATTAGCAGCATTGTTCTTGACTCACACATCCTTTGTTTCCTCATCTGTAAAATGGGGACACTTGGACCTGCTTTGCTGATAGGTAATTGAGGATTATTAATGATGTTTCTAAAGCATTTAACACAATGTTTGACACATGCTGAGTAGCTATTATTATCATCATTAATGCTGTTTATTAAAGCAGAAACCTTGAAGCAAATTCATAACAAAATTAGAGGTTAAAGAACTTGCTCCTATCCTCATTATAAGGTCGTAGAGTTGAGACTGAGGAGTCTGTGGCTTTTCTTCATTGACTCCATTATAATTTTTCAGGAACTGTTTGCAGTACCATTTAATATGGATTGGTGTAATAATAGACAGGTTTTTTGTGTTTTTTTTTTTTGGCCTGTTTGAGTTGGGTTCCTGGACCCAGTTCCAATGTGTGTGTGTGGAGACTTCCCCACATCAACAATCAATTCTTGGATGCTAGCAGGTATACAGAAGTTCAACTCATTTCTGACACTGTCTGCCCAGAGATAGAATCAGATTCCATAGACAAAGGGCTCAGTCCCACAAGACCTCCCTCCACTTCAGAAACCAGTCACAAGTTGTTAACCTGTGCTTTTGACCAGCTACAGATTGGAGGTTCTGATGATTCCTCCAACTCAGGATGCCAATTGCAAGTCCAGGTTGTAACCTATACTTCTGATTAACTGGCCGTAAATCAGAGGTTCCCACGACTCCCTCTTGGGGTTCAATTAGTTTGTTAGAAGGGCTCCCAGAACTCAGGGAAACCTGTTTACTCACTAGATTATTGATTTATTATAAAAGGATATAAATCAACAGCCAGATGAGATACGAAGGTCAAGGTCCTGAACAAAGGGGCTTCTGTCCTCATGGTGGATGGGGCCAAGCATGGGGGCATGTGGAAGTGTTCTGGTTTCCCAATGTGGAAGCTCTCTGAAAAGGTCCAAAAAGCTGTCCTTTTGGGTTTTTTATGGAGGCTTTGTTACGTAGTCATGATTGACTAAATCACTGGCCAGTGGTGATTCACTCAACTTCCGGCAGGGGGTGGGACTGAAAGTTGGTTCTCCTGACAACCAGCCCCCACCTTTGGGTGGGATCCCGAAAGTCACCTTCCCTGAAGTGTTTTCAGGAACTGAGGACAAGAGACCAAATATCATCCCATCGTTCAGGAAATTCCAAGAGTTTTGGGAGCTGTGAGCCAGGAACTGTGGATGAAGACCAAATATATATTTTTCCTACAAATCACAATAATGCAGTGGTAGTGAGGCTTCACTGTAACTCTAGTTCATGTTTTAATAATTAGGTTACTTTTGAAAATGAAAGTTTTAGTTTAAGCAAACATAATGTTAAAACAGTCACTTTTGCCCCTTTACCCACCACCTCCCTCTGTAAGAACACCTTTCCCTTCTATATATGTCTTTGCAATTTGGCATTTGTATTAGTCTCTTGGGGTTGCTATAACAAAGTATCACAAATTGGGTGGCTTAAAACAACAGATATTTATTGTCCCACAGTTCTGGAGGCTAGAAGTCCAAAATCAGTGAGCAGGGTTGATTCCTTCTGAGGGCTGTGAGGGTGAATCTGTTCCATGCCTCTCTCTTAGCTTCTGGTAGCCCCAGGCATTCCTTGGCTTGTAGATGCATCACTTCAGTCCACCATCTTCGCATGGTGTTTTCCTGTGTTTCTGTCTTCACAAGGCCCTCTTCTTTTATAAGGACACTGGTCATATTGGATATGAGGCCCAGCCTACTCCAGTATGATCTCACCTTAATGAGTTACGTCTTCAACAACTGTATTTACAAATAAGGTCACATTCTGAGGTCCTGGGTGGGAGTTAGGACTTCAACATTTTTTTTAGGGGGGACACAGTACAACCCGCAACAGCATTCATCTAAAAATCAGAAATAAGCAAATTGGTACTAAAAACACAGCCCTTTTTGCCTCATGCATTATTGTATCACAGTGGGGGGAAAACTGAGAGCAAAGGAGGACTAAGTGGGGTTGAGTCAGTCAGGAAAGGTCCTTCTGATGAGGTGACATTTACATTGAGAACAGAAGGACAGGGAAGATCCAGTAAAGCAAGCATGTTTCAAGCTAGGGAACAACCTGTGTAAAGACCAGAAATAGCTCGATGTGTTGGAAGAAGTGAAAGAGGGGCCAGTGTCACTGTTGTGTGGTGGCCTGGGGGAGATGGGGTCTGGGGCCAAATCATGCAGGGACTTGCCATGGTGATGAGTTCACTTCTTTAGGGGTTCTGGGGAGCCTTTGAAGAATTTTAAGCAGGGGAGACATACTCAGGTTTACATATTTAGAAGATCACTCCCGCTGCTATATGCCACATGGATTGAGGGGACCACACTGGTGGTGGAAAGACCAATTGGGGAGCTTTTCTATTTTTCCAATAGAGACAAAGACAGTGGAGGCTTGGACTAGTGTAGCAGTAAGGGAGATGGAGAGAAATGGGGAAATTCAAGGTACGTTTTGGGGAAAGAGCTGAGAAGATTTGCTGATGGGTTAGCTAGAGAGTAGGGAAAGGAGGAATCCTTTGCTGATGGCTTGAGTAACTCAGTGAATGATTGTATAATCGACTGAGATGGGGAAATCAGGGTTGGGGGTAGGTGTGAGATTTAAACTGCCAAGTTCAGCTTGGGGTATGTTAAATGTTAAATGCCTGGTGATATCTAAGTAGAGAAGTTAAGTAGCCAACCCAGTTTTGACCTCAGGGCTGGAAATGTTAGGAGCACTAACATTTCAAGTTCTTAAAGAGGAGAGGAGCCTGGAAGAGATCTAGAAAAGGAGCAGTGCAGTAAGAGACAGCTGGAGAAAGTGGTGTCACAGAGGCAGAGAAGGATGAGCAAGTTCTTCAGCCGTGTTGAGTGCTTCGGAGAAATTGAGTGTGATCTTCCTTCACTGGCATCAAAGTGATATGCAGATAAGGACAGAGACATGTTCAGTGGATCTGACCCTGTGCTGTTTTAACTGAGAGGTGAGTGCAAAGTCTCGTTTAGAATGGATTGAAGGGAGAATGGGAGGTGGGGAATTGGATCAGGCATGTGTAGGCAACTCTTATTCTGGAGAGCAAACACACTGGCCCTCTGCTGGGGGCAGACACTGTCCTCCAAGGCTGTAGGCTATACAGACATCCTGGGAAAAGATAGCCCAGAACAAAGGCCACTAGTGCCTTGGCTTATAAGATACTCATGGAAAATTGTCTTCCACTAAGAGCCACTCCTCATTTCTGCACCATATTCTGGTGAATTTTCCTATGGGTGTGCCACTTTCTCAGCCACTCTGGTTAATCTGACTGACAGGGGCTGGAACTAGGTCGATTCCGTTTGTCTCAGACAGCATTTAATTAGGGCTACTCTCAGTAAGACTCCAAGCAGCAGGACTAGGCCAACCTGCAGTATTGACCTTCGCCATGCCCCCAGGGTCCTGAACAAATCTCAGGAACCACTCGTGAGCCTTAGAAAACGAGGGAGCTTTCTCTAGGTTTCTATGTTGACCTTCCCACTTGGTCTGAGGCATCAGTCCAGGTGCAGCAGCTTGTGCTAGCCTTGGCACAGACCACCCTGGGCAAAAGGCAGAAGTTTATAGAGGCTGCCATCCATAATGACACTGGCAGTGAGGGCGAGGTGGTGTTACTTATCACTTCAGCTAAGGCTGGGGACAGATTTCATACCACCCTTTCTAATTGGATGACTCATTGTGGGGAAAACTGCCCATAGGGTGCACTTAACCCTCCTGGAAGCTTTCCTGAGTAACCAAGGGCTGTTTTGGAGAGATTGCCACCATTGATCTAGTTGATGGTCATGTGAGAGCTTACTCATGTTGTTTTCTGAAACACCTGCAGGTCTAAGATGCAAATAACAGCATTGTGGGGAGAGAGGCAAGTTAATACTGGAGACCCCCCCTCGCCACGCACACACAAAGACACAAAATCACAGGCCTGGAAGTGGTGGTGTGACACTGGAAAGAAATTTCTTTACAATTGGGACCCACATGGTTCAGAGCACACAGGTTGTCAGGGCCTCCAGTGTGACCCTTAGCCTGATAGTAGGCACAGGCTCCAGACGCGCAGGCTCAGTGGCCATGGCTCACGGGCCCAGCCGCTCCGCGGCATGTGGGATCTTCCCGGACCGGGGCATGAACCCGCGTCCCCTGCATCGGCAGGCGGACCCTCAACTACTGCGCCACCAGGGAAGCCCTTGATAGGTGTTCTGTAGGAGAGGTACAGGAGCTGGGACAGATGTTCTGATACACTTGTTGGTGATGGTTATCGTTGTGGTCAGAGCCATCTGTCAGGGGTGGCAAATTCAGGAGTCAGTTAAATTTAAGGTGCTTATACCAGTTTGGGGGAACCTTGTCAGGGTATTCTGCTTCATGAGAACAGCTCCGGGGCAATTCTGAAAGATAAAAGATAGTTAACAAATGATCCTTCCCACCCCTATCTCCTGGGGCACAAGTTGTTCTCTTCCCAGGTGGTGAGGTTATTTCCCTCCCTCCACCTCCACAAAAATGTGTGTGTCCCATTCCAGAAGCTATAACTTCACCTTTTTTCTAATCAACTCCTATTCCCTGAAGGGAGTTTTTATAAAACTTACGGAGACCCATTAGGTCCCCCACTCTGGCCTGAAGCGTACTCCACCGATGTGATCTACATCATTGTTAGTCCAAGAGAATCCAGGAAGCTGAACCAGAGTTATGTTCAAATCCCCTAAGCCCCCTTTTGGCCACCTTGCCACATGGAAGATGTACCAGTCGGGCTGGCTGGGGGTACCTGAAGGGGAAAGAAAGAAGCATTATGCACAGGAACGGTCTGGGTGGAATCCCAGGATTTCACACTGGTCTCTATAACTGCCCCTCCGCTCTCTTCCTCTTTGTCCTGATCATTTCCCAGGAAACCAGAGAGAGGATGATCCCTTTCTGGGGATAGCTGTGTTCAGTGAACAAACTGCCATTCTAGGGTGTGTTCCAGGAGGAGATGAGGGAGGTAGAGTGAGAATTCTTTTTTAGTTGATTTCTTAGGCGGCGGTTTCAGTGCTTAACAGTCCCGAGTAGCTGTGGGTGTTAGGGAGGTTTGGGAGGTCTACTGTTTTGGGAAGAAAGAAATTTTCTTCTACTCTTCTGAGGATTGTTTCCACGATTCACAGCCCTTTAGAGAAGTGTCTTTGATCTGCCACTCTGTGGTTTTCTAAGAGGTAGATCAAATAGCTGGGCCTTTGGCAACAGCTCAAGAGTAAGTAAAACCTAAGATTCACCTATGGGAATATTAGCCAGAGCTATGGGAACAGCCTTCAGTTCTGCCACTGAGCAGAGTGAACATGTCTGGTTTTGGTTTTTCACAGCTGGAGCTCGGCTGAACATTCACAGTAGGCCAGTGGACACTGCTGGGTTTCAGCTTAGCCAAACCATCTGTGAACTAGGCCCAGGCATTTAGGGGAACCTTGCTGTGAACAGAGGGTCCTGTTGAGTCAGTAACTTTGCTTCAGGTGGTGGAGTGAAGAAGAAAGTTTTCCCCAAAGGGAAAGCTGCCACTTTTCCAAATCAGACTGACATGCACATAGGGCTCAACTTGCTAAGTTGTTAAACATATCATTTCCATTTGATAAGGGAACCTGTTTGGTTCTTCGCATCTTATTAGTCATGGAGCTGGAGTTGACTCACTCCCGAATGGGAATATTAGGCTGAAGAATCACAAGCTGTGTCAGGGTGGTGAGGAGCCCAAGACCAAAAGGGGCCTCTGGGTGGAGGCTGACTTCCCTTTGCTAGAGGCTCCAGTTCGCAAAATCATCAGTCACAGTGACTGGTGGTACCTCAAAGGGGTTGTCGGGTTGTAGGGCCCAAAGGTAGAGATGTACCGCAGCTTGCTAGACCACTTTCAATGCAGCTCATTGGTTTGGGCTCCACTCAGGATACTGCCTTGTAGGTTAAAAGACCAAGTAGAGTGTCCAAGTGAGGACTTTATCAATCAGGGTTCAACTGGAGAAGCAGCAGAACCAGTAGAAGACAAAATACGGAACACACACACACATACCACACACATATCACACTAGGAACTGGCTTACTCCATGGTGGGGACTAGCTAAGTAGGTTAGACGTTCAGAGGCCGGTAGTCAGGAAGGGCCCATGAGGAGCAGACTGGACCCCACAGACAGCAGCTGAGGCTCATGGTCTCAAGCAGCGCTCAGGAGGGAGGGCCCCGGGGAAGGGAGAGCAAGTGCAGACTCCGCTGTGATTTAGAGTCTCTGAGCTCAGGGACGCCTAAGTCCTCCTAAAGGGCTTCTAACAGACTAAGTCAGGCCTGCCCAGGAGAATCTGCCTTTTGATTAATTTAAGGTAAGCTGATTATGGACTTTAATTACATCTACAAAATGTGTATGCTACAAAGTACATATAAAATATGCTTCTTCCTCTAACATTCAGGAGAAAATATCCCTTGTGGCTCAGAGTAACCAGAAGCGTGCTGGAAAGGGCATTCTGGGGACTGTAGCTCCGCCTGGCCACACTGACACATCACCGAGCCATTCCAGGCACACACTGTCTCCAGTACCCAAAGAGACCAACGAGGTGCTAGGGTTCTTTTTTGGTGGTAGGAGGCTGAGGAGACAGCTGTTGTTCCTTGATGGCCAAAGGGACTGGGCATTATGAATCCACCCATATAATCCCACGAAACTTTACTTGTTGAGTAGAGCCCTGGATTTAGCTGGTGGAGGTGTGATAACAGCACAGGACCATTGAGACTGAGGTCTCTGACTTGCCAACCAACAGGACATTTTTTATATGTTGAAAACCTTGAACATCAGTAGGTAGGGCAATTGTATGACGTCCCAACCCACCCACTGATGACAAACGGCAGGGGAGCTTCTCCCACTAGCATTTCTCTACCTATAGCTCTTCCTGATGGGGGAGAATCTCCTTTGGCACTGTAGACAGGGAAGTATAAGGATATATATGCATCATTTGTACAATCAGATGTAGAAACAACAACAGTACTTTGAATTGGCCTGGAGCATCCCGTCTACTCCCTCATGTTAGTTTCCTTTCCCCCGCTGTGAATTGTGTCCAGATCCCACTAGCTGAATCTGAGTACCTCCTCCTGCACAGGGCCAGGTAGGACAGATATGGGTGCCTGTATCCACAGAGCCATAAACATTTGAGTCCCTCCTTTCCCTGAAGTTCCTCAGTATGCTTGGGTGCATAAGGCCTTCAGTCTGTCTTGGGGACAGAGAGACCTCAGGCCACCCCTAATGCTCCTCCTTAAAGCAGATGTCAGGGTAGGGGGCAAGGGTAGGGATCAGGGTTACAGAGGGGGAGAGGAGCTCTGTGCCAGTTAGCAAGGCACACATATGTTTAGTTTCATATGACCCGGTGGCTATTCATGGCTCAATTTAATGAAATTTTCAGTTACCCAAAAGCTCTAGATCCCCATTGATGACATAATTTGTTTCAGCTCTGGGGACTCTACTTAACAGCTACAGCCTCATTGCCTCTCATCTGGGGCCACAGGGCTTGCGCCTCATTGCCATGGTTGCATCCCTTCCCCTCCCACCCCAAGGAGAGTGATCAACAACCAAAGGACCGTTGGGCAGTTTGTTTCAATCCTTCCTTTTGCTGCTCATCCTCTAAAGGTTAATTAACCCTTACAACCCCACACCCACCACTTGGACAAGAACATTTGCTTCTGGATCCCAGGGAGTCTTCTTATATGCCCTAAACCCGTGGGACCTTTGTCTTTTCTGTTCCAGAAAGCCATGTTTCTGCCAGCATCCCATCCTTGTCACACACTGTCAAGAACTGTGAAGAGTCTTGAGATTTTATCCTACTCGGAAGCTGACAGATCAGCCTGTCACAGTTTACTGGTTGCTGGCAGAAGACATGGAACTCCTGGGTCTGAGACAAAGGACTGCATTACAGCACAGCCAATAGCATGAGCTCCCTGTTCGTGTCATTTCCTCTTGCCCCGTGAGTCCACAGCTGTAGAAC